TCAACTCAACCGAAAACCTGAAACCCTTAAACCCCCCAAACCCCTAAACTCCTAAACTGCAGGGTTTATTGGTTAGGGTTTACAAGGGTTTAGGGAGGCTTCATGGTGTCTGGTTCGGGGCAGCCGGGAGTTCTGGGGCGGCGAGGAGAGGGGCGGGGAAGCGAACCGGTTCTTCCAACAATCTGTGCCACCTAGGCCTCTTTTAGTATAATATTCCGCAAAACCCTGTTCGAATAGCAAAGGCCCCAAGATCAAAGAACCCTGCCATAGATCCCTGATAGACCTCTTAAAGGAACCCTTCAAAAGGGAAGACGCCGAAATAACATCAAGAAAGAGGCTGGGAGACTTCGTGTTGCATCGCAGGCTGAACCCTAAACCCAAAGGGTCCCAAGTATGGGGATACTTTCCCAAACCAGAATGGTAGGGTTTAGGGTTTAGGGTTTCAGTCCTACTATAGAAACCCTACGTTCTACTATATAGGCTACGTATTAGGACCCTTTGGGCAATCCCCAAACCCTAAGCCCGAAGGAGTGTGTCTGAGTTACGAGCTCTCCACTCCCATGCTTCGGATGGGTGCTGCTCATGTCCCGTGTGGGAGGTTTAGGGTTCTACAAGGGTACTACAAGGTTCTTAAAGGAATCCTAAAATCCCAAACCCCCCAAAACCTTAAAGCCCTAAACCCTAAAACCCTAAAACCCGAAAGCTCTAAAATCCTTAAAGCCCTAAACCCTGAAGCCCTAAACCCTTTGAACCCTAAACCCTAAACCCCTGAACCCCTGAACCCTAACCCCAAATCTCAGGCCTCATAAGACCCCAAAGCCCCAACAACTGCGCACGTGGGGTTTTCGAGGCCGTGAGAGCCATGGCTCTGGACTTCATCATCTCCAACTTTCACACGGTTTGTAACGGCCTTGGCATAAGTAGGGTTTAGGGTTCTTTTTTAGGGTAATATAGGGTTTATAAATAGGGTTCCTTAGAGGGATCTATAAGGGGTCTATAATGGAGGATCATGGGACTTTGTAAGTAAGGTTATAAGAAGTCCCATAGTTCGTAAGCCCCAAACTTTAAACGCGAATCGCCAAACCCTCCGCCAATTCAGAGCTCAGAGCGTTTGGGTTGTGGTTAGGATATGTTAGGACAGGTTCGACGGTGCATTGAGTTCGCTTAGGTCGGGCTCGGTTAGGTTGAGTTAGGTTTGGTTGGGTTGGGGCAGGTTCTGGTGGGAATGAGGTAGGTTGGGCGAGGTTGGGTTTGGTTAGGGTGGGTTATAGAAACCTCGTTTGGACCGTGTCACTCCGAGTCACTCCCTTGTCTTATCCGTAGAGTATCCTTACATACCCTTGTAGAAACCTTGTAATAAGCTATTGTAATCTTATAGACGCCTTAGGGCAACCGTATAGCGCCCTTATCGTAACCGTGTAGTAGGGAAAGGGAACCTTATGGTGCCTTTATAAAGCGCGCTTACCCCGTAAACCCCAAAAGCCCCAGACCCCTAAACCCTAAGCTCTAAACCCTGGGTGACTGAGAGTAGTGTGATCTATATGTCCTGCCGTAAGTCCGGACCAGGCACATGCCCATCAATGGCGGGCACTAGACCTGCAGTCATGCGGAGTAAGGGCCATTGCCTTTAAACCAAGCACCTAAACCGTACACTCTAAAACCCTAATCCATACACACTAAACCTTACATTCTAAATCCTAAACCCTAGACTCTAAAATCCCAAACCTCTGAGCCTTAAGCCCCAAACCCCGAACCCTCCCCTAGGGGTCCTTTTAAAGGAACCCCTTAAGGTTCCTTTAAAAGGAACCCCTTAAGGTTCCTTTAAAGGAACCCCTAAGGTTCCTCTAAAGGAGCCCCTTAGGGTTCCTTTAAAGGAACCCCTAAGGTTCCTCTAAAGGAGCCCCCTAGGGCTCCTTTAAAGGAGCCCCTTAGGCTTCCTTTAAAGGAAGCCCCGAAAGACCCCCCGAGAGCTCGGAAGCTGCGAGGTCAGCAGCCGGCCTTGGAGCAGCTCGACAAGTCCCTGCTCATCGACATCCTCCGAGGCCTCAAGGGCTTAGGGTTCCCTTTAAGGGGAAATTGAGGGGTTCCCTTTGAGGGAAATCTAGGGGATTCCCTGAACCCTAGGGTTCCCTTTAAGGGGAAACCCCGAAGGGCTTCCCTCTAAGGGAACCTTAGGGGTTCCCTTTAAAGGGGAACCCTAGGGATTCCCTTTAAGGGAACCCTAGCGCCTTTCAAGGAACCGAAAGGGAAATCTAGTAGGGGTTCCCGTAAAGGATCCTCCGTGGCCTCAGCGCTTTAGGCCTGGGGTTTTAGGGCTCCCTGAAGGGAACCCTAGGAGTTCCTTTTAAGGGGAATCTCGGGTTTAGGGGTTCCTTCAAAGGAATTCGAGGCACTCCTTCAAAGGAACCCTGAGGGGTTAGGGGCTCCTTTAAGGAACTTTATTGTTCCTTTAAGGGATCTATGTTGGATCTGTAGGGTTAGCGGTTTAGGGTTTTGGGTTGGGGTTTTGTGTTCAGCGGTTTAGGTAGGGTTTTAGGGTTTAGAGGTTTAGAGTTTCCGACAGAAATTGCGAGCAAATTAATCAGACTAAGAATACGACACTGGCTTCAGCTCGATGCATACATGTACACATATACGTATATGTACTATGCTCGGTTTACTTCACCACATCAGACGTGGGTACAACGAGGTATACGAATACGAAGAAACATACACATGTGTATATATATATTTATACACGCACACCTGCACCATACGCAGCATGGTATACATCCACATTTACATACATACCTACCCACCCACCCACCCGCCTACCTTCCTACCTACGTACGTAGCTATTATCTTCATTGTGGTGTTTTCGACTTTTCTACCTGGCCTGGTCTATCTGACAATTTACATACACGTGCACCTTCGAAAAAGAAAGCTGTTTAATGGTGGCCGGTACGTGTTAAATGTCGTGAATAATGAAGACTAAAGCCAAACGAAGATCCAAATCAAGCAACATCCAACCACTAGCTTTGGCAGAACCGTTTTGGCTAGATCAATGCTAGCAGAGGAGTGGCGGAACGGCTGCAGAACACCTTGCAGCCGCCCGCAGCATGCCCAGATCAGGGCGATGTAAAAGTTGATATTTTGGATTGGTTTGCTTTGGGTGGAGTTTGGTCAAGTTTCGGCTGTATCAGGGTTTCAGGGTTGCATAAGGTTTGAGTTTAGGATTCCATAACGGTTCTGTCAGAGTTGAGGCAAGAATCCAGAAAGGCTTAAAAGGGTTTGCAGAACTCGAAATTTTGGCCTGGGTGCGGGAAGTCGGACATCGCGCTTTAGGGCTTTAGGGTAGCGCTGCTTGTTTCTTTGACAACGGTTCAGGGTGGCAGAGTTTAAAGGGTGTAGTGCTTAGGGTTTAGGGGTTTAGGGTTTAGGGGTGTAGCTCAGGCTCTATGCTCTAAGGGCTGAGGGTGAAATTGCAGGCAGGGCTTCTGGTATAGACTTTGCATTCATCGCAGTGACCTCCTTGTACACGTTGAACTGATATCAGGATCCAAACGGTAGTACCTCCAACAAAGGGTGTTTTGGAATCAGGGGTTTGCAAACTTGCTTTGGCTTTGACTCCGAGCGTTAATCTCTAAACCCTAACCCCTAAACCCTATAAAGCCCTAGCTTTTGTGTGGGGTTCGGGTGTTTTTGAGCGATCAGCTGGAGACTTCTCAAGCTAGAGTCTCGGATTGGATGCAGGGCTTTCGGAGATGTGAAGTAGGGTCTAAGCGGCGTTAGACTTAAGGGCTGCTTTCGGTTCACCTTCGTTCAAGATCTTTCAAAGCTTCGTTCGCCCGCCTTCGTTCAGACCTTCGTCGTTCGCCTTCGTTCATGGCAGTTGGAAGCCAGAAGCTCCTCACCGTAACATTGTGTCCAAATCCACCTGAGATCTGCTGGGTGGAAGCGGATGATGATCCAAGCATCGCAGACTGCGGCTCCGAAAGTGAACTCCAGCTGCTACAGAGGATCTTTTCGCTGCAACAGCTTCTGCGGGCCAGGCGCAAGAAGCGGAAAAAGCACATTGCGATCTGCTAAATTATCATGCGAGGGCATGTTTTGGCCGTGCCGCGTTCCTAAGGATCCTGACAAGAAGGGAGCCGGCAGGACACCCTGGACTCAGGCCAGTAAGAATTGGATAAGGCATAGTTGATTATTTCAATTGACCTCCTTCCCCACCTTCTCCCTCCTCCCTGCCCTCGCCCTCCTTCCTGCCACATCATCCAATCTGCCCCTCCCACCCACCTCCCTAATCTGCCCTGTGCCTTCCCCAACACCCCTGCTCCCTGCCTCTTCCCCCGCAGCCTTGCCCCCTCGCTCCCCTCCTTTTCGCCCTGCCGCTCCCACGCCCCCCAGCACCCTTCATATCACGTTCTTTATGACATTATCACTCACATTCTTATCACCTTTATCACCCCTTTATCACTTTTAGCAGTGCAAAGCCCTACCAATCATGCAAGCACGGCCTGGTAGAGGACAAAACCAAAGCGAAGATGCTCCTGTCCGGTTGTCTAGGGACATGAAGATAGATATACAATGTATTCTCATAACAAAAGATAGCTGTAAGGGTGAGACGAAGGCAATATCCTGATAAGAATACAGTATAAAGGTGGTAGAGGTGCGAAGAAGGTGATAAAAAGAAGGTGATAAACAAGGTGACAAAGGTAATAAAAATGTGATAAGCAAGGTGATAAAGGTGATAAAAGGAGATAAGAAAGGTGATACAGGTGATAAAAAGGTGATAAGAAAGGTGATAAAAAATGTGATAAGAAAGGTGATAAAGCTGATAAAAAGGTGATAAGCAAGGGGATAAAAGGTGATAAGAAAGGTGATAAAGGTGATAAAAAGGTGATAAGAAAGGTGATAAAGTTGCTGTGCGCACTACACATTGGTAGCTGAGCGAATCTCGACCGAAGCCATCCCATCTCCTCTCTCGTCATCCTCCGCCCGAATCTCCTGCTTCCGCGACCATGGGCAAGAGCCGCAATCCGGAGGTCGTCAAGCGAACCCTTCGTATCCAGCGGGCTATGTTTCGGAAGAAAACCGCCACCCTCGCGGATATCTTCAACAGGAGACGCCCAAAGTGCAAGAAGGCCAAAGCCACGGTACGGAAGCTCGAGGCGGAAGTTAAAGAGCTGGGAGGGGAGCTGTCGGATGAAGTTTCGTCGTACAACGCGCTCCTCGGCGAAACTTCGACAGTTCCAGCTCTCGGGAAGAATGAAAGCCAAACCGGGGGCCAGGAACCACCAGCGGAGTTCGCGGAGGGGCCTTCTACATAAGAAGGTACCCCGATGCGGGAAGAGTAGTTATCCTCTCATCGCTCCAGGGGACCCGGCCCGAAACCACTGCGGCAAGCCAAACGCCGACGGTGTTTTTTACCCTGAGGAGGGAGAGAGGGGCGAAGGGAGAGGGGGGCAGGGAGAGGGTTTTCCAGCGTCCGGGCGGACTCCAGAAAGAAAGGAAGGTCGCGTCTTTCCCAAAGGGCATCCCCAGCGGTGTGATGCATGCGAGGTTCTCCGTTGTGGGATTTCCCGAACGGGAAATAAACACAACTTCGTTCCCGGCGCCTTCAGGAGTGATGCTTCATGCTCGCGCCCAAAATTGTGAGTGATGGGATATGTTTCGTGCTTCCAGGCCTTCTACAAGCACGGACGGCTTCCTTAAAGGGTTCTACAAGGGATCTAGCGTCAACATCGCCCAGAGCAACCCTCGACCCCAAATCCTAAATCCGAAATCCTTAAAGACCAAACATCTTAAAGCCCTAAATGCCAAATCTCTGAAGCCCTAAACCCCAAACCCTAGAACCTAAATCCCTAGACCCTCAACCCCCAAAACCCTACCCCCGAAAGGCACACCAGGTCGGCTGAGCTGCCCCGACCTTTGGGTTGGCAGCGGCGGAAGCTCCTTTTTCAGTCGGGCACCCAGAAAATCCCAAACCCCTTTAGTAAGAAATATGCCTTTTATGAACCCGGCTAAATAGCTAAATAGCTTGGTAGCTGAGCAGGTAACCTTTAAGGGGCTTTGTAGAGGGGTTTAGGGTAAATAGGGACCCCAAAAAGCACATAAGCATAAGCATTTTATAAGGATATCCCTACCTTATTGGGCGTCATTATACGGGGGTTATATGGGATAATTTTTGCTTAGTTGGAGCCCTAGTAAATTAGTTCAGGGGTGTAGGATTTAGGAGTCTAGGGGTTCAGGACTATGAGCGTGTCCAGCACGTAGAAGTGGGTGCTGCTATAGAAGCAGGAATAAGTATTACTTGGAAGTTCATGGCACCTGGACCTGGAGTTATGAATAAGATAACTATATCTAAAAGTATTAATTATAGCCCCAGTTAGGGTACTTAGACCTGTACTTACTAAGTCCCGTGAACCGTCAAGCAATCGCATACCCCATACGCCAGAACCCCATTCAAATCTTCGCTTAGGGCTTACAAAGTATGAGATTATTTGGGTTTAGGGTTTAGAGGGTGTTTAAGGTTTAGGGCTTATCAGGTGTAGGTTATTTGGTTATGAGAGCGTAGGGTTTTGTGGAGTTTAAGGTTTGGTTTTTGTAGCTGGTTTCACCGAGATCTGCGAGGATTAGGGGTTGCCAGCAGATCAACTCCAAAACCCCTGCAGATCCCTTCTAGGTCCCTTTATAGCGAACCCCAGAAAGTTGGAACATGGGTTTAGGATGATTCGTGCCGGGATCCCTTATACTCAACCTTAAAGGCCTGAGGATCATAATGTTCCAACTTATGGCTTCTACTGTAAGCCGTAAGCCCAAATAAACCCTAAATCCTAAACCCCCCCTAAACCCTAAACCCCTGAACCCTAAAACCCTAAACCCCTACTGAAGAAGAGCCGAAAAAACACCGAAAGGCTTGGCGGCCGAGCGTGCAGTCCCGGGCCGAAACGGGCCATCTCTCGGCTCTCCAAGCCCAGCGGTCGGATTTCGCGTGCGTGTTTAGGGTTGTAGGGGTGTAGGGTTTAGGGGTGTAAGCTTCGGAGTTTAGGGTTTAGGGGTTTAGGGTTCAGAGTTTAGGGTTTAGGGGTTCAGGGTTTAGCAGTCAGGGTGTGTAGATGTTCTCAGATATAGCATTGTTCGACAACTGATGACACATGTTTACCTAATCCCTCGGGTCCCTCGCAGATTCAAATCATCCACGCTAAACCCTAAGCCCTACACACCTTACAGAGCTGGGCTCGACACGAGCGCGCAGGAATGCACTTTCCCAGCGACTACCAAATCCCTGAAATAAGGGGGTTACCCTAAGGGTCCAAGTGCCCAATATCATATTATCAATACTTTCAAGAGTAGTGGCTTACGTAACTACTATCCCAAACCCCAGTTCTTGATTATCGGGCCCTTTGGACTCTTAGGCTTATACTCGCAAACAAATCACGAGGCCCCCATAGAAGTGAAGGACATTCCCTTTAATTCCCTTTTCGCCCTAGTATTATAAAACCCTGCACAAGCGACCCTAAAGCCCTAACCCCCCAAGCCATGAACCCCTAAACCCCGGACCCCCAAACTCCTAAACTCTTAAACCTGAATATGTTTGGATAGAGATATACATATATACATGTGTTTATATATATATATGGAAACATACTGCACTTTACCAGGAAGGAAGCAAACCTTAACATAGTACCTTCTTTCGGGATTCTTGGGAGTCTCTGGGTTCGGGGACTCCTTCGAAGGAGAGTCCCGGAACTCGTCTCAGATGTCCGGCGCCGGAGGGAAGGATTTGGTGGGGGATTCTATGAAAGCTACTAAGCACCATGAGGGATTGAGGGTTTAGGTTTAGGGCAAGGCTTGTTATATAAAGGCTCTTTTCAAGGGGGCATGTATAGGGGATACTACAAGGGTTTAGGGCTTCAGAGGCTAGACACGTTTTCGGTTTTAGAGTCTTTCTTGAGATTGGAGCTTGCATGAGGTGCAGTGGTATCCGCTTAAAGTCCTTATATAGTTGGCAAATGTACAAGCCCTATGCCACTACGAAGGCCCCTGAATTAGGTGCTATACGGCGTCGCAGGTTAAAGGAAATGGGTGGTGCTACTGTTGATGATATAAATCCTGCATTACCTTAAGGACCCTAAAAAGGGAGTTATGGTATATTCCTTATTATGGGTAATGCAGGTTTTATATCATCCACCGTAGTGTCTTTCGGGTGGATGCCAAAGCCAATGAGCTGTGAGTCGCTACCCTACACCCTTCTAGCGGGTTTAGGGTTTAGGGTTTAGGGGACTTAGAACCCTACTTATAACTACCCATGAACCTCCAGGGTTTAGGGTTTAGGGCTACGGTGCGGTAAGTGTCGTAAGACGTTTCGATCAAACCTCCTCGCCTTTGTGGATGTCTTAAACCGCTCCGTAAACCCCAACCCATAAACCGAAATCCCCAAAACCCCCACCCTAAACCGAAATCAATAAACCCTAAACCCTGAAACCCTTCAAACCTAAACCCCAAAGAAACCCAAGCCTCGAAACCTCACTGACTCTAGTCGTTTTCTCCTGCCACATAAGCAGCAGGTGCAAGAAGTAAAGTAAAAGAACATAACTCATCACTGATGCCTTGTTTGGGCATCGTGCAAGCCCTGAAGCTTGCTGAACACCTCTGGAGCAGGACGTATAACGCTGTTGACGATTGACTTAATCTGAATAACTAGAATGGGCTGTAAGGGACCTTAAATGGATCCGAAAATGCGTCCATTATCTTTAAATATTTTACGGGGACCAACGACTAGCATAATGAAGTATGCAGGTTAAGCGCCTCCGTGCCCAAGCACTGAGATCGTCCTATGTCAATGCAGCCGTCGTGCCTGCCGCCTCGTTCAGAGCCCGCTGCTTCACACATCTAGTGGGGCGCGCCGAATGCAGGTGGGGTGTAGGGGATGACCTACTGCATGTAGCTAGAGTAGGCCCTTATTCCCTTTTTTGGGGTTCAGGTTCCCCTAAGCCAAAAAGGGCGCCCTTTTTATTCCTAGGCTACTCTTGCGTCTGGCAACTGAAGCGCAAATCGGTTTCGGATTCCGGATCCATTGGGCCTTTTCGAGGTTTGTCGTGTCGCGGGGTTCTGAGAACCTAAACCCTAAGCCGTCTCTAGGCCCCCCAACTGCCCTCAAATAAACCCAAAAAAACCCACTATTAAAGACCATAATGGCTCCATTAAAGGGCCATGGGGGGCTCGTGGTTCTTGTCAAGTGGATAAAGCTTTCCTAAAACCCAAAATGTAGCCTGCAAGCTTTCGGGCAGTTCCTGCCGGCAGCGAGGCGGCAACATGTAGGGATGGTACTTGTGTGTGCCACGGAAAAATCCAAAAAGCTCATCAAAAGTCAAGATCCCACGAAACTGCAAACCCAAAACCCTATACCCTACTTGGAGGATCATGGGACTTAGTAACCAGGGCTATAAATAAGGTAACTATACTTATAATTCCCTTACTTACTAGGTCTCATGATCCTGCAAGTATGATCTCGACTCGCTAAACCCTAAGCCCTAAACCGTCCGACAACCCCCGAAAATCTCAAAATGTGAACCTTCACACGCTCAGCCTTACACCCGAAGTCCGAGCCTACGTGGTTTGGGGTCACGGTTTAGGGTTTATATAAGGGTTTGGGGTTTAGGGTTTCTGGGGCTTAGGGGGTTAGAATTAGGATTTTAGGATTTGGGATTTAGAGTCCAATACTGAGGATCCATCTCAATCTTCAATTTTTTATCCCGTAAACGTATTGGAACAAGAATAGAAATTTCCAAGATTAGCCGCAGGAGGAGAAGACCACATATCTCAACCCTGCAACTAACAACCGTTCATGCACTACAACTCATTTTTCTAATATTAAAAATCTATTATTTTTATAGATCTTAGATTTGGGATTCTTGAGAATTGAAAGGATGCAATATCTCAGAATTTTGACCTTCAAGATTCTTCGACATCACATATATATATATATATATATATATATTATAGTTAACAGTACTCGAGCCCCACGCACTTGCTTGATGTAGCTAAGAGTACTCTACTAGAGGTAGATGAAGAGCAGCTTGACGCACACGAACGTATTTGGCTCAAGATACAAAACAAGCGTGATCACTACCGTGTCTTGAAATCATTGATTGCTTTGCAATTAACTGGTTAACAGCCTCAGCTTTAGCTTGGTGTAGGTAGTGTAGGATCCTACCGAAGCCATAGCACTTTCCGTGTCGCTCCCTTAGGGTAGAGCTTGTAATCGGTTCGCCGTAGGTCTAGCAAAGACCTGCCCACTTCCATATTACTTTCCATATCCTGCACTGTCAATCTCCTGGGGTTAGAGCCAGAACCCTACAGTTGAGATCCCAACTAGAGCGTACATCGCAGCCTGGTCTTGCACATTATCTGTGAGGTCCAAATCTGCTGCGTGCTTCGCCTGCTTGCTCAGGCATCCGCGTGGTAACCTTCTTCGGGTTTCCTAAAGCCCCGCCTTAGCACCTCTCCCGTAGTCCCGTTCACGGACAAAGGAGGCCAGGCCTTGTGGTGCGACAGGCGATCCAGTAGAGCTCAGAACAGAACCGCAACGAGTCAGGAGTGAGATTGCATCCCAGCAACCCTCCTGTAAGAGTTCAGCTGAGATTGGAGGTTGATTGAGATTTCTGGTTTGGGTTAGCGTGGGTGTTTCCCGTGCTCGGCCTTTGAACCGCTTCCTCAGTCCCTCATCCCAGCTGTAGACTGCTTCGGCAGCACAGCACAACAGCCAAAGGCAAACACAGAATCAATTCCAAATCCCTTCGGCTCTCAGTCTGCCAGCCAGGGGGTTTTCCTAGTTGACAGTTGTTCATCTGGTTTGTCAGTGGGTAATCAAGGAGGTTATCCGGATCGAGCTTTCAGAGGCAAGGCATTGAGGCGTGCTTACGCAGCCAACCGGGGATAATTGGGTAAGGCCTCGAAACGAGCCTTACGGCAGGGTCGACGAGCATCCACCGGGTTTTGGGGTAGGTGTTCATCGGCCGTCAATTTTCCTTTGAAGTCGTCACTGCATGCCAGCTGCTCCAGCCGATACTCCAGAAGCTAGATTTGCGTTGCAAGCCGCTCTCCTTCTCCACGAGACAAAGAGAGGTGGCGGCGGGTCAAGCGGACGTGCCAGACGGTCGCTTCACATCAAAATCGTCTCTGGATTTGCAGTGGAGCTGAGGTCACTTGCTGTCCTGTCTGAGCCAGACCGGCATAATCTTCAAGTGGCCGAAATACATTGCGTGGCTGGAACACAACACGCCTGATCGTGGGGCGGGTCTCCCTGTTTTCTTGAATTCACCTGGCCCTACGCTCTTCCCGCGGGTTCATTCTGTTCCTCCAGCGGTACCTGCTAGCTCTCCTTCTGTTTCCACTCCGCCTTCGCCTTCGATTCGTGCCTTGGGTACTGATTCGGAAAGGGTTGCGGGATCTTCAGGGCTAGAGGCTTCCGGGTCGCTAAGTGTTCTTCCGAGTGGGAGAAAGTTGCCGCCCCAGCCTCCTGTTCCAAAAGCTAAAACAGGAATCCCGCCATCTACTGCACCAAACGTTGGACCATATCTAACGCTCGGACAGCGAGCAGCGGTTATCTCACCTAACAATCCGTTGCTTCGCGTGCGGTCGAGATCTCCACCACGGTCCTCTTCGATCCCATCTGGATCGGCGAGCAGCGGGGTTGGACCCGAGAGGGAGCGCGAGGCGGCCGAACATCTTGAGAATCCGCTTGAAATCGCCGCGGTTCCAGCCGAGGAGGCTGCCGAGGAGATTCTTGAATCAGCCGAGGAGGCTGCGGAGGAGACTCTTGATTCAGGTGCGGCTGCAAGCAGCGGGGTTGGACCCGAGCGCGCGACACCAGGCAGCGGGGCTGGACCCGAGAGGGAGTTGAGGTTCCGACCTGTGGCGCGTCAGGTGACTTCGCTTAAGGTTGCGGAGGGATTGCTTCCGCCGGGTACTTCTGTGCTGCTGTCATTGGACATTCATTTGGTCGCTGACCGCGACGAGGCGGGGACATCTGCGTGCCTTGAGAGAATCTTGCGAGAGCACTCGGATTTGGCTGTGATTTTCTGCTCGTACGCGGTGAAGCAAAAGACCATTGATAAGGCGGTCCAGTGTATCCACCGTATTTGTGATCGGACGATTGTGCGGCGCCCTTTGACCTTTCCCATTTTCTTCACGACATCCAAGACTGCGCCGGGCACAGGCAAAGGAGCACAATTGTCTAAGTTGGCGAATATCTTTAGCCGGTCGCGCCCCGCTCCACTGACTTCTTTGTATCACGTGGACGATCAAGATCCGATTTGCAAGAACGTGACATCCTACGGCCATCACGGTGTGACTTGGGCGGAGGAGGACCCGCGTTCTTTGGATCAGATCGTGTGGGAGCTCTGCTGGCTTTAGTCGCCGACTGACAAAACAGAAAGGCAGAGGAAGACTGCAAACGCAGCTCCTCAGGGTTGGGTTCGAGTTGAGTCGTATTGTGAGGTTGAAGTGAAGTATTTTTACAGCTTTAGCCTCGGACAACACGTCAACTCCAAGTCAAGCCCTTGTGTCAACCATGCCATTAGCTTCACAACTGGGATTCGAAGAATCCTCACTGGAAATTTCATCGTCAAGCACACCCCCTAGGGCTTCGGCACTTAGCGTGCGCCCAGAGGCAGCTAGGCAGTCGGATTCATCAAGTTCGGGGCCAATTCGGAGGAACCGGGCTAGATCATTGTCGTATGGACCCGCATCGAGGTCTTCATCCCTGCAACCGGCACCAACCTTTGCAGCGAATGTTGGCCCTGCCAGTAGTCAAAGCCCAACCGGCCCGAACACGAGCCATCAGGAGTTGCACTTGCACCAACATGCCCATAGGCAGCAGGTCCTTCAGGTTGGGGTTGACCCGGTAACCCATGCAAACATGCAATCCGAAGCAACAACTGCCGTTATGAACGCGAGAGCTGAGACGGCAGCCGTGTTCGGTGAAGCTGAAGCAGTGATTATGTCTCTAAGATCAGAGAACCAACAGCTAGGTGCCCAGGCCGCCGCGATTCAAGGTGAGTCGTATGCCGCCATACAGGCGCTAAGGTCCGAAAACCAGCAGTTGGGTTCACGCGCTTCGGTGATTCAGGGTGAAGCTGAAACGGTGATCGGAAACCTCCGAACTGAGAACCAACAGCTAGGAGAGATGAATCGCGAGCTCAACCAGAGACTCGAAAAGCAAGCTAAGATGATCCTTGAGCAGCAAGAGTTATCTAAGGCTATGCATCAACAGCTAATCGCACTTCAGTCGCATGTGCAAGCTGCCGAACCTAAGAACCCAAGCATCCCTCCATCGGCCATCCCCGCGAGCTCTACCCAAAATGGCGCGGATCAGGCTGCGTCTGCATTCAACGCATTGCAGGCACTCGCGGGTGAAGTTGGGGGAACAATGCGAAGGATTGAACAGGCAATTGAGGTAGCCCTTAGTCCCAAAGCCAAAGCAAAGAAGCAGAAAGCTAAAGCCGAGGCTACAGCTAGGGCCATTGCACCATCAGTTGCGTCTCCAATTCCCGCTAAGGCTTCCGGTTCTAGTGGTTCGGTTGCCCCGGGTCCGGTTGAGTTTGGATTGCCACCGTACCAATGCAGCCGTAAGAGCATCTTCACGGGTAGATTGCATTCCGCAACACCCGCTTCTCCACCTCCTCCACCACAGAAGCTAAAGCCCCAAGTCTTCGACATAGCAGATGAAGATGACTTTGATGAGCATGGCGAAGATGAGGGTGATGAGGACGGAGAAGATTTCGAGGATGATCCAATCGTCCCCGTTGCGGCTCACGAGCCTGAAGATGACAGAGATTACGAGTCTAGCATTTATAAGTACAAAGACCTGAAAGACATCAAGCTTCCCCAAATTCCGGGTTCTAGCGTTGAGTTCAGGGCTTACCGCAATTCGGTGCTAACACAGATTGCGTCAATCGATTGCAGCGGCAAAGCCGTCCTGTTGAAGTGGCTTCAGAAGAGCCTTGATCCATCAGGGAGCATTGCATTGACACGGTCGCTTCAGCAGGATTGCGAGGGTTTGCCTAGACTTGATGGGTGGATCTCCGCATGTATCAGTGATGCGAAACACCTAAAAGGTGAATGGGGATTGCAAGCGCAGTCGTACTTGGAAAGGTGTCATGCGTCTGGAACGATGCCATCGGGTCGTGCACTCTTGTCCATTCTTAGCAGAAGATACCGGATAGATAAAGTGCGCGGGCCATTGGTGACACTACAATCCTTGTTCGATTTAGAACCTGACTCATTTTCCTACCAATCGCTTGTAGCCTTCAAACAACGCGTCGAGTACGTGTTGAATGGCTTACCGGAGCGGCAATGGCCAGATGCCGAAACAATGTTTTCCTGGATCTACTCACGGCTAAAGGGATGCAGGATGCTTTCACGCACAATTGATCGGGTCAAAGATGCCAAGCCGGGTTCCAAGCGTAGGACATTTGAGTACATTTGGAACGGGCTCGAAGAGGTTCTTGCAGAAGTGCACGAGGATCGTAACGAGCAAGCGCTCAAGGATTCGCTCAAAGAGGATTCCAAACAGAAGCCGAAACCAGATGCAAATGCGAAAGCAGCCGCGGCCAAGGCTACGCCCGCCGCTCCTGCTGCAAAGGCAAATGCAAAGGCTAAGGCCAAAGGCCAAGGCAATGACAAGCCCCCGAAGGCCCCGAGCAAAGCAACTCCAGGAGTCACCGACGCCAATCGTGGTGCCGGTGAGGGTGCCAACAGGGACAAAGGCAAAGGTAAAGGGAAAGGCGGGGGTAAGGATGGCAAGGCCAAACCTCAGAAACCTCCAGCTGCAAAGGATTCGTCAGCAGAACAGTCCGGCCAAAGGCCAGCGTGCTTCTTCTACCCAAAGGGAACATGCACTAGGGGAAAGGACTGCCCTTTTGAGCATGTAGATGCACCAAAGAAAGCTGCTCCATCAAAGGCCGCCCCAAAGGTGCCTGCCGGAGTCGCCATGTTAGCAGCCGCGTCGACGGGCGCGAGTGCATGCAACATCCCTTCATCATTTGTTCGCGGTTTCAAAGCCACATGTCGCTTGATCACCGCTCCCTTTCGTGTGTTTGCCCGCTTCGCGGCAGCACTCTCTTTTGCATTGCCCGCAACGCATCATTCGCATGATCGCATTGCCGCGACAGTCAGTAGACCTAACTGTTCAGGGGGGTCGTACTTCCTTGATTGGGTTGCTGATTCTGGGGCAGGGAGAAGCCTGCTAAGCCAATCCGCGCTTGCAGATCAGGGCATTTTGACTGATATGTTCAGCGATCACATCCGGTCAACCAAGCCGTTGCAGTTTGAAACCGGGAATGGTGTGACGAGCAGTGGCACCTTCCTTACTACAACGAGCGATGCCTTTGGATCAGTAGAATCCTATGTTCTGCAAAGCTGCCCGGTAGTGCGGTCTTTAGGCCAACTAGTAGAGTTGCAGCGAAAACCTTTCGTTTGGCTTCCTGGTAGCATGCCGTTCTTCGGTAGTGACGAAGATTGCATCCAGATCACTTGGGATTCGGATCGTGTCATTTATGCCCATAAGGTTGATGACTATGTTCCGGTATTTCGTGAGCAGATCAGGTTTGGTGGTGATGGTTTGCACAGAGCCTTAGCCGCTGGTGAGTCTGCTCCGGCAGCCCCAGCAGAGGTTCCTGCGCCCGCTGTCCCAGCAGAGGACCCTCCTCTCCCAGCTCCCGCAGCACCCCCTCCACCTGATCCAGGGGAAGGTTCCGGTGCCGACGATGAGGGTGATGAGGATGCACCAACCAAGGCTCAGCGGCTAATCACTGAAGCCCAGAGTCTACAGCATCGCTTAACGCATATGCCAAAGAACCCCTACTGTGATGTCTGCAGTCGGAGTCGAATGCTAAAGAAGCGAACGGCGAGGACGCGCTATGCAAAGTGTGATGATGAGTTAGATCCGGTTGAAGAGTTCGGTCAACGGATAGCGGCTGATTTCATCATAGTGCACAAAGACGCTAAAAGCACTGAAACCGTCGTCCTGACTGTGAGGGATGAGGCTACAGGGTACATAAGAGCATTCCCGCTAGTGTCCAGGCACGAAGACGGGGTGGTACGATCATTGTTATCCTTTCTCGGTAGGCGCGCTTCTGGACCTTGTGTATTGTTCAAGAGCGACAATGCGCGAGAGCTCCTCGCCGCATGTGCGACGTTGGGGTTTACTTCAGAACCAAGCCTTGAGCGTAGATGGCCTCACAACTCAGTTCTCGAACGGGAGATCCGTACCATCGAGGAGTGTACAAGGGCTCTCCACATTGCGGCCGGTTTTCAGTTGCATTCGGGTCTTTGGGTTCACACTGTTCGCTATGCGGCACACACGATTAACCTTTTCCACCCTGCGGTCGGGATTGAGGGTTGTCGGTATGCGAACGCGATTGGATCCGAGTTTGGTGGCATGAAATTACAACTTGGTCAACTAGTCTATTACAGACTTGACCCGGCAAACCGTGAGAAGTTTCAGGCATCAGCAGCACCTGGTGTTTTCGCAGGTTGGCGGTTCGATAGCGGTCCATCATCATTCAGAGAAGTCTACTATGTCTTGGATTATGGTAAGCTAAAGAACCGTGAACCGGGGTACGAAAAGGCGATCTCCGTCCCTAGAGAGGAAATCCACGTTCCCCGCGGTAATCCCATCCTCCCGATGTTCACCGCTGCAGAAGCTGCTTTGTCTAGTTTCACGAAAGCCGAGTATGAAGCCATCGAATTTCTTGATGTGCCGTTCAGCACGGTAGCGCCGTCAACACCCGTTGCCAAGCGCCACGAGTACATTACTTTAGACAGACTTATGCGACTAGGTGCAACACCTGGTTGTAAGGCCTGCAAGTTCGATGGAACAGTACACACGCCAGTATGTAAGGCAAGATTTGATGGTTTGATTAAAGCCGAGAAGATTGCCGCGAGCAAGTTAGTCAGAGACGCTGCACCGCCTGATGTTGAGCGCCCTGATCTTTCGGCGGAGTCTGCACTCGCAGCCCCCGAGGGTGATGAGGATGCTCCAGAGCGCGCGAGCTCCTCTGCTGGCCCACGGGCTCCAGCTGGTGTTGTAGTTCAGTCTTCCGAAAGCAAAGTTCCAACAGGTGAGTTTGGTTTGAGTGCAAGGTTTCTCGCAAACGAGAGAGCGCGTAACAACACCAGAAGGGTGAAGGAACTTCCAGGGGAAAATGTTCTGATCGAGTATGGTTGTGAAGACGAGTCTGAGATAAGAAACGCTTGTGAACGTTGTAAGGTTCATTGTGTTAGTCTGTCCCAGTCAACGCTGGACTTGACTTCGCAGGATGACATGCAACAAGTTGTTTCCCAAGCAATCCCAGGTGTAGATGCTTGGTTCACCATACCATGCACACATATGTCTTCGCATCAAGCCGTACATCGTGAGTCCCAAAGTCCCAAGTACGCGCGAAAGATTGCACAAAGGCAAGCAGCATCCAAGCGAATGTTGGTTTTGGCCCTAAATGTTGCCGACCATATCATTGAGCAGGGGGGTCGGGTTTCGTTTCAGTGGAGTTCTGATTCAGGGGTGCTTGGGCAGCCTGAGTGGATCGATTTCGCTTCGAAACACGAGCTTTCCAGTGTAGCCTGTGTCAGCGGTAACAAAGCCACCACCATTGCTTCAAACTCCAAGCGAGTACTGGACTTCGCAAAGGTGACAACAAAGGATTCGTCAGGGATCAATGCAACCGACATCAAGGCGTATGAGTTTGCAGATCTAGTGATACAATCCTTGTTTCCCCAGAGGTACTTCAAAAGTGTCCCCAATCTTGGTAAAGCTAGTGCGCTTATCACCAAGAATCTCTCTCGCCGAGAGTGGCAACCTGAGCCGAAGGCGCTTGAAGCCATCGCTCAAGAGGCAGAGGGATTGCGCCGAAACGGCACATGGGATGACACAACAGCCATGCCTTTGCATGAGTTGAGAAGTCAGGCCAGGTCTCAGGGACGCAAGCTTCGCGTCGCAGAGCTGATGACCTTGTGCGGGGTAAAGCATGCCGAACTTGCACCTGAATTTCAAAAGTTCAAAGGGAGAATTGTTTATAGAGGGGATAGGGTTTTGGATGAGTTCAACAATCTGGTTTTCTTCGAAGAGACCAGTACGACTCCAACGGGGTTAATAGCCTTGAACGCCTCCCTCTTCTGGGGTTGCTTACCAGAGCACTCTGTGTCATGCTCTGACGCAATCCAAGCATACCTCCAATCAGAGCTTAAAGAAGAGACATACGTAATCTTGCCAAGGGAGTTATGGCTCCCCGGCTGGGAGAAGCGTTTTGGAGCGCAAGCGAGAATAGTCGTTCGACTCCGCAAGAGCTTGTACGGCCACCCACAGGCCGGACGGCTCTGGCAAGAGTATTTGTCTAGGATTTTGATCTCATTAGGCGGAAAGGAGTCCCAGGAGTTTCCGAGCAACTGGTTCTTTGAGTACAAGGATGGGGTTCTCATCTTAAACATTTACGTCGATGATTTGAGTTTGTGCGGATTATCAAAGTTGCACACGCCATTTTGGCAAGCGTTGAGGGCAAAGGTCAAACTTGAACCCGAGTGTTTCATAGGTTCTGAGGGTGTTCGGATCTTAGGTAGACTGCATTGTCGGTACGATGAACCATCGTCGACCACAATGGCTTTTAGGATGCCTGAGTATGCTGAGCAGATCGTCCAAACCTATTGCGAGATCACCGGGACAACACCCGACAAGCTCCGTCGAGTGAGCACGCCCTGTATCGCTGAATCGTCAATGACTGACGAGGATATCTCAGCGCAAGGCGGGCTCCACGATACAGCATCACGCATCCTGATGCGCTGTTTGTGGTTAGCTCGTCTCTGTAGAGCTGACATTGCATTCGCGGTAACTCGCCTAGCTTCCAGGGTCACTAGGTGGACTGCCTGGGAGGACAGACAAGTGCTGAGACTTGTGTCATATATCCATCACACCAAAGATGTTTGCATGAATGCCAGTTGCTCTTGGGATGCCGCTCCCGAGCTGCGGGTGTATACAGATGCTGACTTTGCAGCCTGTCCCTACACTTCACGTAGCACGTCCGGGATTGTCGTCCACATAGGCACAGGTCAACATGCATTCCCTGTGATGTGGCAAAGTCGCAAGCAAACGTCTGTTGCGAGGTCGACGCCAGAGGCCGAAATGATTTCAATGGCATCAGCTATGTTTTCAGAGGTCATAAATTTGCAGACGTTCTTACAGTCAGCCTTCAAAAGCACAGTGCCGATCATCTTCTTCCAAGACAATGAAACTGTCTTGGCCATCCTGAAGTCGGGATACAGTCCAAAGCTTCGCCACTTAGGGCGCGTGCACCGCGTGAACGTGGCAAGTATGGCAGAGATATTTGAGCAAGAAGATTTTTCGGCTACTTACGTGAACAGCAAGGAGCAATTAGCTAATGGTTTGACTAAGATCATCCCTCCCGCTGAGTGGTCTGACATGCTTACACAGCTGTGCCTTCACGAAGGTGTCCCTCACAATGCGACCGTCTCAAAGGTTGTAGTCGAGGAAGCAGAGCGTTTTGCAAGCTCACTGCCTAGGAAGATCACACAAGAAGACCTTGTGCAGCTGTTGTCATATTTGCCAGGGGAGAGCGCCGTGCGCCCCTCTGCAAGTGAGGCAATGTGCTTCACCACCGGTGCGTTCGCGCACGGAGGTGGGATCGCAGGTTTAAGGCAAAATGTAACCCTCTTCCCAGTAGTCACTGCGGTTTTGTGCAGGTTCATCCGTAGGGTGTTGCCTAAGCATAAGTTTACGGCAGTGATGTTGGCCAAGAATCAAATTACCTTGACTCATAAGGATTCTTACAACGAGCCATGCAGCAAGAACGCTGTAATCCCACTTGAAGTGTTCG